AACTGTAAACATGGAACTGAAAAACTAGTTCCATTATCTGACAACACATTTATTTCTTGTCCTTATTCTTTTTTTAAATAATAACAGAGATTCATTATTAGTTAAGTATTACTAAGAATTTTATTCTTATTTTTATGATTCTAATGAAAATGTCACAACCTTGGCTATCCWTAAGTAAGTTATAAGTTTACAATGTGTGCTTCATATCTATAGTTCTGTCTAACTTTTCTGATATGACCACTCATTTACTAGATTACCTAAGTATTTCATTTGGAAAACAAAGTTAAACAAATAATAATGTACCATGTAAAATTCATTTTTATTACAGAAAAACTTTTACCTACTACATTGTTGTAAAACTTAAAGTATTAAAAATAATACTCTAAATATAGATATAACCCAAACCTAGTGATAATAATTAAAAAAAACTAGATGTTTTTAATTGTGTCATTTAGTTTAGATAAGCATGATAAATTTTAATTTTGTATACATTAAAAATGACTAGAACAAACTACAACGCGTATTTTATGCATACAAACGAGTAGGAATGGATAATAAATAAAAATATTATATTTATTTAATAATATATTAAAATAACATTATTTTAAGTCTAAAAGCAATGGAGAAGTTGCTGTTATAGCTTGGTTTTCATTATCTGTTTCATCAGTATCCAAGCTTAATTGTGATAATTCTGTTAAATTAGAAACAGAATCATTCTTTTTATGTAGTGGTGGMAAATCTCTGTACACTCTTGGATTGTCCACTGAATTATGTAAACTTTCCTATTATATCAATTATTAATTAATTAATTAGTAAATATCTATAGTAAATTAGTTGATTAAATAWAATACATAAATATTTTTGCTTACATCATTAAGATCATGTTGGTTAAGTTCGCTAACTGGTTGAACAGACTTATATTGAAATGCATTACAAGTCAAATCCATCTCAATAGGAAAGAGTGGTGGTTCACTAACATTGTTACCTCCAAGCATCATCCAACTTATTTCACGATTGTAATTAGCCATTTGTGAAGCGATTGCATGCAATTGGCCTACAACATCATGCACATGYTTATTTTCTAATAGTTCAATTTTGGCCAAAACATCTTCTCTGAGTGCAGCAAATCGTTTTCTTGCTAACTGCCGGCATCTCAGAACAAGCCTATACAAAAAAAAACAAACACATATTTAACGAAAAATGTTTAGGCCAATATGTTTTATCAATAAATAAACATGTCTCTATCTAAAGTACACTAAKATAGTAAACTATATAGTACTCTTAAGTACTTTCATGCTTATATTTTTTTCATTAAATTGGTATACCTGTATTCATAATTTCCTGTTTCAATACGATATAAAGGTTCGTCTGCTGAACAATAAGTTATTTCTTCGTCATCTAACTCTTTGACTTTTAAACAATAAGATAAATATTCAAATTTCACATCTGCATACTTGCGTATTGTTTGCTTGGTGTCAGGAATAGCTTTATTCAGRTATGTACCAAATGATCTAGATATCTATTCCAGAACTATAAATTATATTTGAAATAACAATGTAAATTATTTTTATATTTACCGGTTTTAGAGCTTTAATTAGCATAAGTCCTTGACGCTCCATTCGTCTGTGATATTCAGCAAAGCGCACTAAAGCTTCACTAGCTCTAGGTTGTGGTTCTCTAGCACCTATTTCAGCAAATGTGTCCCCAAACTCTGCAACAAATGTATACAGATAATGATTAAATAATTCATACAATATTGTCAAACCACTTTAAGAAGATTTCAGCGCACTATTTGTTTTCTTTCTGATATATGCAGTAAACTTAAACAAAATGTATTTACACAGAATYATTTTTTCTATTTTTTTAAGTTATCTAAGAGTAAAATAATATTTTTGAAGGAATGACATATCAATATTATATTTTATTGTTATTTGATTTTGTATTAGATTATCAATATAAACAAAACAATGTTGTAAATTTGAATGGTGTTTAAATTGTTTTGAGACAATATTTAGACAAATTTATGTCATTCCCTCAAAAATATTATTCTCTATCTTTTTTGTAATGGAAATTTTACTCTAAGATTACTTAAAAACATAGAAAAATTATTCTGTGTAAATGCTTTTTGTCTATGTTGAGTGTGGGCCAGAGAGAGAAAACAAATAGTGCACTGATATCCTCTTAAACATATTGTRACTGGAAAGCACCTTTAAAACATTGGGTCAGAGCATAAAATGCACGAAGTACACGTTCTGTATGATCAACCAAGTGACGATATGATTGTTCCATGTCATCCAACTGTTGTAACCGTTTAACAAGACTATCATTGACTAGTATTGCACGAGACATACCCAAAGAGTCTGCAGTGGTGGCTGACATACGTTCAACTAACCTATGTTTAACTTTTTTTAATACAATATCCAAAGTTTTGCCTTGACGAGCATCAGCATGTAATTTGTTGTATTTCAAAATAACTCGACCCTTACAAACAAATAAATATGATTTTAAAAAAGTTCAGTATTACACAAAAAACTAAAACTTTTAAACTCACAACACTCGATTGTATCATTTGCGCTACTTGTAATTTTGTATGTCCACGGACACATTCATTATTAATAGCTAAAAGCTCATCACCACTTTCTAATGTACCATCTAATGCAGCCGGTGAATTATCAGATACCTATGATAATATCATAAGTATTTAATATATGAAAAAACCAATATTTTTWAAAAGTAATTCATACCTGTATAACATATATACAAGGGCAGTGAGGTGGTCCTCCACCTATTGTTATTCCTATAAGGTTGGTTGTCGTGTCCTTATTAATTGTTACAACTCCAGAGGTTACTTTCATACCCCTAAACAAATTATACAAGTTGAGGTAAAYATATCACAATGAAGTAATAATTGAAACTTACATTTTATCTTCATCAAAACATAGATCGCCATATTCATAATCGTACATTGTAAATAAGAAAATTATTTGTACGCCAAAGAATAGCTTTTTTTCCTTCACAAAATTGTAAGTATATATTTTATAATATTCTGAAAATGTTCATATACTATATAAACATTTGAAAATATGATGTACAAATAATAATAATTAAGACACATTTAGATTTAATAAATAGTGAATTGATATAAACAGCTGGAAATAATATATAATTAAAGTTAAAACTTTCAACATTAGATTATACAAATTTATAAAAAAAATATAACATATTGAAATGTAAAATATTTTTTAATATTTAAACGCCATATTATTAAGAAACTTGCAATTCTATGGAATCAGCAATTTATAACAGAATTTCAATTTGATTGCAAACAAATATCAGTGCCAAATGTCCGACGTATGTACTAAAAATCCAGTCAAATGCAGAAATTCAATCACTGGTAGTCAATTTCCAAAATAGAATCTGGAGCTTAAACAGTATCAATATTTAATATTTTTATTTTAAATAATAATTACTTAAACGTTCTCGACTGACATGACYACCCAGTCGTGAGAGTTGTGACTGGTGACACGCTAATTTCTAGCATAAGTCAGGTACTAACCACTAGTAACCAGTCGGCAGTCACTATGAGCTACTGTCTGAGTATCGACTATCGAGTATTGAATGTATAAATAGCGAATATTGTCCTTCACATTGTCAATCCGCATTCAGCATCAGCTAATGAATATTTTATTGTATCGTGTGAATCTAGTATCTTGACATGAATGATAAAATATTAAATAACATTGTCTTTTGTCCCTTATCTTATCAAGCCTGCTGGTGGATATCATTACAGAACAAAATATCACCTATGATTACGGCAATACAGCTATAATTTATGGTATAACCGTATAACCCAAGGCGGATTGACAGACCAAGTGGACATAATATATAATATCCATCTAGCCATAAACATTATTTACCGAGAATAAATGGAGTAAAAGGACTATGCTATAAGCCTATAACCACGATTTTAGACATACCTTATATATCTTAAATTGTGGCTTTAACTATCCTTAACCGTGTCCACGAATTAAGATTATGCTTGTGACRCTATTCTGTAGCTTGTGAGTCGAAACGGTTGTCACAAATTAACGTCCAACGACAATTTGATCATAGCTCGTTTGGTGTTCATATTATATCTTAATTTCTGTGGAACCTTGCATTAGATGCTCAAGTTTTTTGGTAAAGYCACGATGTAAAGAAGATATATTATCTTCTCTAGTTTTTTACATCGTAGGCAGAGCGAACAATTATTTATCGACGATAATTTTAAAACCAATAATTTCTTATACCTATAAATTGCAAAAAAAAAAAGGAAAATATTTAGGAAACTTAAACAAATAACAGTTACTTTTTATATTTTTAAGTAACACACGTCACCCACACACAAAAAAAAMTTACTTTTGTCAAAAACTGGTTTAGCGTCAAAATGCGTGTTTTCCTTAAATTTGTTTTCCGACAGCTTTCGAAAACTATTGTGCATTTTAAATTTTGATCTCTCAAAAGCATCAACTAGCAACTACAGATTTATTCTACCACCAAGAAAGATGTACTGAAGTTGAAAATCCAAGCAATATTTCGGCYACTTAGTACTTATCATGTGTATACAGACACAAATAATAAAATATTTTAAAAAAAACACATCATAGTAAAATGAATACATTCATCACTCCCCTCAGAATTTATAATCTTAAAAATACCCCGTCAACTGGGCCAACTTGGGGCAAAAATATTATCCTTTAGTTTTACCTCCATAACGGTCTCTTCTCTCTTCTCAATTAATTAATGTGAGACAAGTATTCTGTTGTTATCTTAGAAATATTTAAAACCATTTTGCAAGTGTCGCAGCATCAAATTTTCAACGTAAGTAGGGTCAAATGGGGTAATTGTAAATCGGGGCATTTGTAAATAATAATCATAAGAAATTAACCAATCATTTTTAATGTATTTCATATTAATAACATGAAGGTATGAACNGCTTTCGAAAACTATTGTGCATTTTAAATTTTGATCTCTCAAAAGCATCAACTAGCAACTACAGATTTATTCTACCACCAAGAAAGATGTACTGAAGTTGAAAATCCAAGCAATATTTCGGCTACTTAGTACTTATCATGTGTATACAGACACAAATAATAAAATATTTTAAAAAAAACACATCATAGTAAAATGAATACATTCATCACTCCCCTCAGAATTTATAATCTTAAAAATACCCCGTCAACTGGGCCAACTTGGGGCAAAAATATTATCCTTTAGTTTTACCTCCATAACGGTCTCTTCTCTCTTCTCAATTAATTAATGTGAGACAAGTATTCTGTTGTTATCTTAGAAATATTTAAAACCATTTTGCAAGTGTTGCAACATCAAATTTTCAACGTAAGTATTAATTTTTATTAATTCTTTTTTTTACTAATATCTATCGTTTTGAAAAGGTCCGAAAACTTACACTTATACTCATTGAATGAAACGTTTTACATAAAAATTGATAATAAAAAATATGTTCAGATGTGTGTTAAATTTTCTAATCTACATAATAAATTATTATAATCCTGCATATGTATCTGTAAATTGCGTTTTACTTATTTAGTCCATCTTGGGCCACTATTATTCATCCATGGTCAAATTTATAATTAGGATAAATTTAAACAAGTTAATTCCATTTAAACAAGACTAACCTTAATACAATTTAGTCTGAATAGTACCTACGGTTATATTTTTAACTTTGTACGGATGGGTGAATGTCGAAGAAAAATTGGTGAAAATTATAAGAACAAGAATGTTTTTATTTTTTTGTATATGTTAATATACACTCACCAGGTACAAAATATATTTTTTAAATTCAGAAAATTATCTAGTATTTTTTTTAAATTTAAAATAGTGCCCCAAGTTGGTTCAAGTAAATTATAAAATAGATTTTTCATAAGAAAAACATGATTGCCCCATGTTGTCAATATTCGATACAACATGGGGCAAGCAGAAAAATAAAAAAAACACATATAGAWGGAATAATTTGTATGGTTTAAATGCAACAGAAATTAATAAATCAAACCTTAACTAAAAAAAAAATGTTATATTTAAAATACCTCTAGAATAATTAAACTTAAAGTTATTTATAATAGAATTTCAAAACTGCCCCAAGTTGGCCTGGTTGACAGTACTTRAATTAATTTCCAAAAATTGCTCGGGACTTGGTAGTTAAACTRCTGTAACAATTATAATATGTTACATGATACCTAAATACTACGGTAATTATATCTATAGAGTCCTACGACTCTCACTGGATATCTTATATTTAACTGGTCGTTCCCCCGACCACGTTACACTGCAATAAAAGTCCGGTAAAAAAAAGTCCCTAGAATAAATGTCCAGTTTATTTATATAATATATTCATTTATAAGTTATAATTTAATAATTATATGTTTAAGTACACAATATTATACTTCAATAGTTTTATATGCAGGCGCGGATCCAGAATAGATCTACGGGGAGGAGGCCATCTTGGATAAAATGTTATCCAATCGACGAGGCAATGTATTTTATCAGCCCACCGAAAACAGACCTTTGGATCTGTGCTTGTTTATATGATATACATATATATAATAGAAGAGGTTGGGATCCGGTACTAAAAAAAGATTTAGGGTATGATAAAACATTTATTTTTAAGTTTGACAAATCATATTTCAACTTCTTTAGTAGTATACAGTGCACATTAAACTTACTAAAACAAGGGAGTTTTTTTTCGTCATTTTTTTTTTTCATCCTTTCCGTCACCCTGTCCTCTATAAAGGACACTTGATTTCCATAAACTTTATAGACAAATATAATATGGAACTGTGTTCACTGTTCAGTCATAGTGTACTCTCCAGAGGACAAGTATATATTTCTTATTTGCCCGGTTGCTTCGCCTATTATTATCTTCATTGGCTGAATTTTTAGTATTAATCTGCGTTATTCTATTTTCTTTAAATATAAATATATGACGGAAAGGGTTAAATTATAATTCTATCGATAAAAAATTATTATATTGTCATACTTTTACTTTTATTGTAGCTAATATTGATTGAAGTTAAAAAATGTATAGATACTTATAAATAAATATGTATAATAAATAAACCGGACTTTTACGCATCCRACTTTTTTTTACCGGACTAAGGTAGAATCCCGTTATATACAGCTAGTATAAGGGAGTAAGGATTTTATGTATTATACCTGTAAGTAAGTATAGTAAGGTTAGTATACCGAATACTTATAAAGTTATAAGTAATAGTATTTAACAATTTGTTATAAGTAATAGTATTTAAATATTTCTATCCACGAGAGATCATTACCGCTACAATATGCTATACGACCAAAACTCGCGTGATTCTGTACATCCCCCACGTAGAGTGCCACGATTATGGAACATGAGAGAAATTCTGTCGCAGCCGGTTATTCTGCATGCGCGTGACAGTACTGATCTCTCGTGGGCCGGAGTATAGTTAAATAAGTATTTAAATATGGTTTGCCAGTTCAAAAAAAAATGTATGGGGGAAGCGATACTCCAAACCCCCCTAATTATGCCACAGGTGTGTTAAGTGTCACAGATTTTTTAATTTGATACACTATTAAAATGACATTATATTATATTTATAACTAGGGAACAGATTTATATGCCCTAAAAAACCATTAAATATGCTCTTAAAAATATGCAAGTATGCATTAATGCACTTAATAATGTTAATGTATTTAAAAACAAAATCATAAAATATGCATTTATAACATAAATATGCTTTAAAATTTGCACATTTATATTTATTATAATTTATTTAAWACATGAGTACAGAAATATACTAAAGTAAAAAAAAATTAATTAAAAATTAAAATATGTACTTATAAATTATAATGTATATAGTTTTTTTCCCGATAGTCAATAAAGGTAATAAAATATTAGCAATTTTTATTGACAAGAAAAAATAGGACTGACAATATAAAAAAAYGTTTGTTTTTACTTCTAAAGAAGTAAAAAAGAATTTAAATTGTTATATTTGCAATAATATGACCTAAAAATATTAAAATATTATAATATGCATTTATTAATAAAAATGCCCAAATATTCAAAATAGAGTAGTGCATTTTAATCACCAGTATATGAAACGGATTTCTATCTCATTTAGCAATCTTTTAGAGTAACTAAAATAATATGCAAAATGCATATGAATCCGTTCTCTATTGATAAAATAATTAACAGTTTAACACATATGTACCTAGACTAAATTTTCATTTTAAAAATGGAAATAATTGAACAGTAAACAAAAGACATTTCAATTTCAATTATGATTTTTAGCACAATTATTCAGAACAATGGTGAATGCAAGTTGTTTTTTATATACATATAGATAATATAGGTATAGGTAATAAGTAGATTAAAAAAAAATTAAAATAATATGGAAACAAATTTATATAATGAAATACAGTTCTTAATTAAAAAATAAAATAAAATACTTAAAACTAAATTTAATTTGAAATGAGATTTTCTTTTCTAAAAAAAGTTATTAATAATTATGACTTATGATAAACTGGAATATTGTAATATAAAGTTTATAATAGGTAATGATAAACAAATTAGATTTTTATGTCCCTATATTAATCACAAAATCCCAATTTTAATCCCATAACTAAATGTAAGAYATCTGTATTAACTGTAATAAGTAAGCAAGTACCTATGTAGTACACACTATGAATGGTTATTGTTTATATTTTTTAATTTTTATGAGAACATAGAATCATGAAGTTGAGCGATGTTGTCTTCTCTTGATTGTCGATTTTTCAACTCTTGCTTATACAGTTCATACATTTCATTGTCTGTCTTCAATTCAAACTTACAAAGCGGACAAAAATTACTCTGAAAACAAATAAAAATTATAAAAATTTATAATTAATTATCAAAATAAATTGTTTCATTACTTTTTCCAGCCAAGTTTTTAAACAGTTTTCATGAAATATATGATTGCATGGCATGTTTAATGCTTCATCATTCGGTTGATATTGACATAAACAGATTCGACATTGTTCATCTAATAGATAATATAAATGTATATTCAATAAATATTATACTTTTTAGTCATTGTGACTTCCAACCATAGTACGTATAAACTTGGAGGGAAAAATTGTTTGCATAATTTAAATCGATAATATCTCTCGATTTGGTATGTGAAACCACACTGGTTTACTCTAGGAGTAAAAGTAAAGTTTTTAAAAGCACATATTATAAACCTAGCACTCAGCGTGATTATTTACTTGTTCAGACATTTAAATCGAAAACATCCCTTAACTCGACAGGAAGTAAAACCACTTTGGGTAGTTCTAGATTAGATTACCCTATGACAGCAGTTCCTAAACTCTTTTTTAGATCAAATATAGCCAAGGTGTCTTGCTATGAATACCATGAAACACAGGATATCAATAACATTTTAAATTATTTATTTTAGCAATAGACCATGGTTCCCTTGAAAGTGCTTGGAGTGCACAGTTTAAGAACTGTTTCCCTATGACAATACCCAAGATGGTTTTATATTAAAGCAAATCAAGGGATCTTTTTGATTTAAATTATCTAAGCAAGCATAGTGAGTGTGGATTTTATCAGGTATATAATATGAAGTATGCACTATGATTGGTTGTTGTCATAACCGAAAAGTACCTAATTTTGAGATAAAATGTTTACCTATTAACTCTTCGAATGAA